CTTGGAACAGATTCTGAATTTGCATTACAGTGCTCTCTCAACAGAAGGTGATACAAAAGCATTTGGTTACAACCTGCAGTAAATGTTTTTGCTATAAATCTGTGCTGTCCCTCCTAGCTGCCTGGAGGCTAGGTACCCTGGCATTACTTCTTTATAAAGGATTCAAGCCATTTATTTTCTCTTAAATAATCAAGTTTTCAGCATGCAGCACCTGATTTGTTTGAGGTAATTGCTATGTCTTCAAAGAGCTTCCTCCTCACCTCCCCCGCCCTGGGGTTCAGCTTCTGCCATATGCTTTTCATCCAAATGTGAACCTTGACCAGGCAGAGATATTAGTTAGGTCTGGGCGATATTTGCACTGGAAGTAAAAATGATGTACAGCTGGGTATCATCTGCATCATGCTGGTAATGAGACCAGAGCATCTTAGAATTTCATACATGTCCATGTGCATATTAAAAAGAATGGGGAAAATCATCCTTGTGTGACTCCACAGGTGAGCTGTCCAGTTTCTGTAGGCATACTGAAATGAAAGACGAGGCCCATTTCAGAACTCACCTGCCAACCACTGCTGCATCTCAGAGGAGACAGTAACATGCCATGGTCTCAAAATGAAATACTGCAGAGAGATCCCAGACGACTACTATAGCTGTCCTTCCCTTATCCCGGGGCTGGAGGTGGCCATCCACCAGCACTGTCTGTCCCATGACCTGGCCAGAACTCCGACAGTAAAGGGACTAAAATACTGGCAGTATTAGGAAGCAGCTAGGATTATCTTGCCTAAAAATGGGAGATTTTACATTGGACCATAGACTGCAAAGTCTGATGGGGCCAAAGATGGTTTCTTGAATTGGCCAGACTATGGCAGGTTTTCCTTTTCAAAAAAATGGTATGACAATCTGTCAGAAGAAGTCCCACTCTAGATACTCCTGGGCACATTTCACCAGATACAACAGGTATGGAACTGAATGGCAGATGGTGACTCAGCTTTCAGTGCCTTTTAGAGTGTCCCGCCCCAATGATGTGCCAAATACTGAAGTGTGTTTTCCGTCTTGAATTCAGTGGTGTTCTTAAAGACTGTATGAAGGTAATCCTCTGCAAGTAGTCATTCAGCTGTGAGGCAGTTGGGACTGAAAGTGATTTGCTATTTGGGAAAACACTGCAAGATGGAATTTAGCTGCTGAAATGGAATCAGAACATAGCAGTGGTCATACTGGGTCGGACCAATGGTCCATCTATGTCAGCATCCTGTCTTTTGACAGTGGCCAGTGCCAGATGCTTCAGAGGGGGGTGAATAAAATGGCAATTTTGAATGATCCATCTTTGTCATCCAGCCCCAACTTCTGGCAGTTGAAGGTTTAGCAACACACTGAGCATGGGTCTGCATAAGAGAAAGGTCTCTTCTCTATTACGGCTGTAGCATAGTATATTTCTGTTAAAATTCTAACTGAATCTGACAGTTTCGTAACACCATTGCTTCAGATTCCTTCTTTCCCACTTCATCTGATGCATATCAGAGAATCATGGTGCTCTGCAGTGGCTAGGAGATGGGGGGGAGGTGTGTTTATAGCAGTGGCCAGTGTCTGATCCTACCATCTGAAAGTTTTCATGCTCTGTGACCCAATGATTGGGTAATGTTTTCATAGAAGTGGCTCTACTCCCAAGAAACCAGAAGAACTGCCATGGCTTGAGACAGAATAGAAAAATTTAAAACAAGATGGCAGACTACCAACCCTACAACCATTCTGAGTGAAAACCCATTAGAAACTGTACATTCAAAGACCTAGAGACACTGAATTGATATTAATTACTTCTTTATTTTAATGGTTCATTTTTAAAAGATAGCCCTGATATGATGTTTTCTCTGGAACCAACAAAAAAAAGTTCTTGGGTGCTATCCCAAAGTCTAAAACTTAAAAACAAACTCTACACAACAAAGGAAACAGGATCACGGGGTGGAATTCTACCTAAATTCTAATCTCAGTCTGAAGACAACTGCCTCTTACTATGTAATATCTGATAAGTGACTTCACAAGGAAGGCCTGAAAATTGTACCACAGGCTGGGTTTAAACGAGTTTCCCGAAGTTTTACAACTATTTGTTGAAAAAAAGGAAAACACAATGGCACAGACATACAGGCCACAACAAGGACTGAGACTGATGATGTTTTATAATGAAGCCCATTTTTCGTGAATTCTGATTCAGTGGAACAACTCTGTATATAATTGTGGCGGGGCCTGCTCACTCCCGCCTCTGCTTAAGTCTGCAAACATCTCAGGCAGTTTATTTACAATATTGCTCTCCACCACCCTATACACGATACAGCCTTAAGCCTACAGTGCTAGGGAGCCCAAAGTGCCTGAAGAAAGCAGGGAAGAGCAATCTCTCTCCCCCTCTCTTTTCCTGCTTTCCCCCCTTCCTGTGCTTTTTGTATGATCCTTCTAAGGGCCTAACTAGCCTCTTCATTCGCCTCAGCCCATCAATTAGACACAGCTCTAAAGTAATTAGAGTTGCAGTGACCAGAGTGCTGGTTAAGCTGCTGTTACCCAGCATCCTGTCACAATAATAAGGAATTAAATTCCCAATTTGTTTCAATGAACTACAGTGCACTGCACTTTTCTTGTAGCGTGCTGGACACAATACAACTGTATACACTGTCTACAATAAAAACCACACTTTGAACTAGTAGACCATCTTTCCCCTGAGGATCCAAGAGCATGTTATCAATATTAAGAGTATGGAAATGATAAGTTGACTATATTATGGTTTCACTGAATACAGGGACGTCAAATAGAGAGAGAAGAGAGGGACCCTTCAGAAAAAGAAAATGCTGACATGTTGTCTATCAACCGTAATCACATTTGTAAACAGAATATAATAAACTTAGTGTAATGCTAAGATACCCCTTCACTTCCATTTGTGACTTAACAATGTCCCCATCCCCAAAGGATAACTTCACACCAGTGACATTTTCCATTTAAGCTCTCATTAAATGTCTCAGCTCCAGGTGGAACATGGTATATTTCTCAGCCTACATTCACTATAAACTCTGATTAACATTTTATTCAAGAAGTCAACAGGAAATTTTCCATTGAACTTTAGCTTTCTTTCTTGCCAAGAAGTTGAAGGGTGGGGGGAAAAAAGATGATCTGTGCTAAATCTAGCTACCTTCGGAGAGCAGGTGAAGTTTCAATTATTTAAATTATATTAATGTGTGCTGTTAATTTGTTTGAAAATATTAAGTGACATTATCATTAATGTCAAATCTCAAGTAATAGAAACAGCATGTTACGTTTGACAGAAGAGGAAGGAGAAAAAACCATCATGAAGCAGGCTGTTGTATCAAATATTTAGAATGGGCATTCTCAAATCTAGCAATGCTACTTTACTTACATACTTTACAGTGAAATCAAACCACATGTGGATCCTTGAAGATATGCAGGAAAATAAGCACTTATCCAGAACTTTAGATTTTCAAAGCACTGTAAAAACTAATCCTCAAAACACCCATGAGATAACTGCACATTATCCCCACATTGCAGATGGAGACGTAAGCAGATAAATGAAATGACTTACCAAGGGCAAACAGCAGAGACAAGATTAGAACTCAGAACCTCTAACTAACGATTCTGTGCTCATTCCTTAACACCCTACTATCCTCTTTCTTCCCTTTAGCCCACTACTTCACCAGAACAAAATTATACTTTGCACTCCTATAGCACCTCCCATTTGAGTTCAAAAGTGCTTTATAGATATTTATGAATTTAGCCGTAACTTCCCTGCAAAAGAGAAGTATGACTATTCTTATTTAAAGACAAGGAAACAGAAGCACAGAGAGGCTGACATAGGAAGTCACATAGGAAGTCTGTATAGTAGTTCGGAATGCAACTCAGACTAACCTGCTCCAAGTCCTGCATTTTATGTGGAGACCCGTCCTTTCCGATTATAGCGGCACTCCATCATATAAGCAAAGACATGATATGGCATGTAGCATCCCACATTGTCATATCTATTGTTTGTTTTCCTAGTCTTATACTTTTGGAATAACATAAGGTTGAGAGGAAATAACTATATATTTGCACTTTTAAAAATTAAAAATTTTAATTAAAAAAATATTTAAAAAAGTAAAGAGATCTGACTGACCGAAGGAGTAGCTCACAGGACTGGGTCTTATGATTCTACATGGCAGCCAATTAGCCAAGTGTTAGTAGACAAAGGTAGCATGTCTACATGTGCTACCCAGATTGCAAAATTAGAGCACTTTACTGAAAACAGCAAAAGTTAGTATGGTGAAAAGTCATCACACGTTTATCAGAGATATACGTGTATGCAAAGTGCATTTCCAGTGTGCTGTGACGTACATTTCATATTCTGTATGCAAGAAAGGGAACATGGGAGCCTGGCTGGGATCCCCATAAAGTGGGAGGAAGAGCAATGTTATGGTAGCCTGGGTGCCTTTTTCAAAAGTGTACCCTTAACCCTCAGCTATTTCCCCCCTCACTTAGAATTATAATATACTCCCTCAAACCACTGATGTGGGCCTACAACTTTAAAGTGAGATTAGAGCCATTCTGCTACAGAGGCAGTCAGAGGCAGGAGCTACTTGTAGTTTAGCACTCCAGCAAAGGAGACGGGCTATAATAGCAAGTTTCTGATTTTCAAATTTCCGAACTGATTGGAAAAAAAACATTTCTGCTATACACTATTTTTATGCTTACAAATTCTGGAATCTGAGTTTCTGGAACACAGTATGTTCACCTACCATACTTAGTGCATGACTTAAACTGCAGAACCAAGATAGCAACATAGGATAGCTTTTCATCAAAATGCTAATCAATGTGTTTTATTATATACCTCTGCAAACAGAAATCTATATGCTTAACTGAAGGTAAATACTGGATGTGTATGTCTAAGTACATATGTATGTCTAAGTACATCTAAGAGATGCACAAAAGTGGTAAAAAGTCATTTAGAGAACATTCAGTACTGTCATTTGACCTGCCTCTCTTCGTCGTGATGCCCAGCAACTTTGTTTAATCTTCCAAACCACGGCAGCTACCAGGAGCAAAGACAGGAAACAACTGTAGAGGAGAAAACACAAATACTTACTGTCTCCATTCAGAATATATCAGCATTTGAAAGCTATAACAAAATAAAGGTTAGTCCTCTGATGAAAAATGCTATAGCAGTGCAAAGTGCTTTGCAAACATTAAGTCTCATTAGGTTCTATGTCCACTTTACAGAGAGATAAACAGGAGACACAAAAAGGTTATTAAAGTGACTTGCCCCCGGTCACACAGCAAGTCAAACAACAGAGCTGTGATTAGAATCCAGAAATTCTATTAGCAATTTAAGACAATAAGAAGGCAAAAAGTGAATCATAAGGATAATGCCATATAGCAATCTTGAGCAATATTTATTTTAAATGAGAGGTTAGCTCAAAAAAGGAATAATTTAGTATTCAATATGTACATCGGACAAAACTAATATTTTTTCAAGCTTTAAGTGAAATTAACGTTAGCAAATTAAACTTTGTTTGAAAACTAATTCCAATAATCAAAGAGTCCATATCCCAGTGTTACAGATATTATCAGACCTTACTTTCATTAGTCTATATTGAATCTCAACAGGGAGGAACAGAGAAAGATGCACAATTTACATTAACTGTTAGCGCTTGCAACAACAAACGTTTGTTTTGCAATTTTCATCTCAGATGACATCTATTTTCCAATATAGCAGAATTTCCAAAAACACTTCCTCACATTTAATCTGAGGCATTCAATTTTGATTTTACTTTGCTCCACTGCAAAATCATATGAAAGTCACTTTTCTACAGTTATATAAGAAAAATTCAGACATAAAAGTTTACTTTATAGCACCTTATTGGCCCTACGCTTAATTGTGATATATTTTATTTATTTTTTCAAGTACAGAAACAACATGCCCCACTCCCAAACCAGGAAGACATTTAGATTAATTTCTTGCCCTCAGGACAAAGAAATGCATACATATACAGTGGTGAGCTGGAGCCGGTTCCCGCCGGTTTGCTAGAACCGGTTGTTAAATTTAGAAGCCCATTTAGAACTGGTTGCCCCGCGAAGGAGAACCGGTTCTAAAAGGGCTTCTAAATTTAACCAGCCAAAAGTGGCGCCTTAGGCGCAGACTCTATGGGTGCTCCAGCCCTGGAGCACCTAAGGGGAAAATCTGGTGAGTGCAGAGCACCAACCGGCAGCTCCCCTCCCCACCCCACCCCTTGCCCGGCCCCAGCTCACCTCCGCTCTGCCTCCGCCTCGTCCCCTGAACGCGCCGCCCCGCTCTGCTTCTCCACGCAGGAAGCTGGGGCAGGCTGAGAAGCAGGCGGAGGCTTCACACTCAGTCCCAGGGAGGCAGAGAGGAGGTGAGCTGGGGCGGGGGGGGAGCGAGGAAGGCCGTCCGCGCCGCAGCAGGTAACCCATGGGGAGGAAGGGGGGGCCACACAGGGGAACCGTTTCCCCTCCCCCCCCAGCTCACCTCCGCCATCCTCGGCCTGAGCGGGAAGCTGCCGCCTGCTTCTCAGCCCTCCCCAGCTTCCCGCCGAACAGCTGATTCACGGGAAGCCCGGGGCGGAGAAGCAGAGTGGGGCGGTGCGTTCAGGGGAGGAGGAGGAGGAACGGAGGTGAGGTGAGCTGGGGCCGGGTGCGGGGCAGGGAGCTGCCGGTGGGTGCTCTGCACCCACCAAATTTTCCTCGTGGGTGCTCCAGCCCCGGAGCACCCAGGGAGTCGGCGCCTAAGGCGTCACTTTTGATGTGATCAGTGGGGGGCGGCCACTCCCCCTGCTCCCCCTCAGCTACGCTCCCCTGCCCCTAGGAGCCAGAGGGACCTGCCAGATGCTTCCTGGGAGCTGCCCCAGGTAAGCACCTCCGGGACTCCCCAACCTCACCCCCGGCAGGTGCCTCTGGCTCTTAGGGATGGGGTGGGCATCCACTACGGTGGACCACGAGACCCTCCTGCCCAGTTCTGGGGGCAGACAGGGGACGGGGGTGGATGGGACAGGGGTCCGGGAGGAGGGATGTCAAGGAATGCGGGGGGGGTTGGATGGGGCAGGAGTCCCGGGGGTGCGGGGGTGGGCAACGACCCCCTCGTGGGATGAGGAGGGAACCTGTTGTTAAGATTTTGGCATCTCATCACTGCACACATACAACTGTTGATTTATGATTTTATAGCTTCCGTTTCCCCTTTCTTTCAGAAAATAATCTACTGATATATTTAGTGAAGTGTAAGAACAGAATCTGCATTACCCGTAAATGGCATTTCTCCCATGAACAAGGTTAGACTTTGACTAGCTGAATTTTTGCATACATCACACTTGAACAGGCACAAAGTAAATGATGGAATAGCAATCTTTTTGAGCTCCAGAGGTTGTCCTGAGGCTGCAGTTAGCTTCCCCAGCATGAATGCCACAACACTTATTGAATGGTTTGGTAAGCTTTTTCCTCCTTAACAAGTTTCCCATTCCCAAAGAACCCTGAACGCTCTCTGGAGGGCACAGCATCCACTTTATCACAGAGGCCTACCCTCACTAGGACTCCCTGCAAAGAGAAATAAACAAAGGAGCATCCAACCAAAAATGGTGGAACTGAGACAACATGCTGAATCTTCACTCTTCTATAATGCTGCTTATTGTTATATCCTATCCCCAATCCTCCAGTTGTACGCTGGATGTTTAGACTACAGTCCTGGGGGTCAAATATCTTTTATCCTTCCTGTCCACAACACCTAATACAGACACTAAGTAAATAATATCCAAAGGTCTGCATGATACGTCTCAAGACTGTGTCTAGGCCAAAGCAAAGTCTGTATACTAACTGTAGTTGCCTGTCAGGCCATCGGGCTAAAGGTCTGGTTCCAACAGCAACTTTCAGCTGAAAGCAAATATATTGAACTTGGCTTATGGAGAACAGCTACTGTCATAGATTTCCTGATTTTGCCATGACCCTCGATATCGCTCATTTCCCAAGGAAAAGAGATCTAGAGTTTTAGACAGTTCAGCAGCTCTTGACTGTCAGGACTTGGCCAGTCCCCTCAGATGGATTTTCTTTGAAGTCCTAACTGATCTTTCAGAAAATTTCTCTTGGAAATGAGGGACATAGTGAAGGACTGTCTACACTGTGTAATGCAGAGCATAATTGGGGAAGCTAACAAGAGCCTCACAAGAATGTAGGTTGGGGCTAGGAGATTATGCCATTCCTTTAATTGCTCACAACTGTTAAACATTATTAATGGAACCCATATTTAAAAGCTCATTTGTCCAGTTAGAAAAAAACAAAAAAACCCAATTGTGAATTAATTGGATGATCACTGTCATACAACAACAATCTCTAGAAGACATGAAGCATTTTTTAGAACTGTACATGCCGGTTTTCTCTTTTGCCCTTTTCTATATCACAGCTCCCCTTTTGTTTTCATTTTTGACATCATAGAAGATTAGGTTGGAAGAGACCACAGGAGGTCATCTAGTCCAAACCCCTGCTCAAAGCAGGACTAAGTCCAACTAAACCATCCCAGCCAGGGCTTTGTCAAGCCGGGCCTTAAAAACCTCTAAGGATGGAGATTCCACCACCTCCCTAGGTAACCCATTCCAGTATTCACCATCCTCCTAGTGAAATACTGTTTCCTAATATCCCACCTAGACCTTCCCCACTGCAACTTGAGACCATTGCTTCTTGTTCTGTCATCTGCCACCACTGAGAACAGTCCTCTTTGGAACCCCCCTTCAGGTACTTGAAGGCTGCTATCAAATTCCCCATCACTCTTCTCTTCTGGAGACTAAATAATCCCAGTTCCCTCAGCCTCTCCTCGTAAATCATGTGCCCCAGCCCCTAATCATTTTCATTGCCTTCTGCTGGACTCTCTCCATTTGTCCACATCCCTTCTGCAGTGAGGGAACTAAAACTGGACACAGTCCTCCAGGTGTGGCCTCACCAGTGCCGAATAGAGGGGAATAATCACTTCCCTCGATCTGCTGGCAGTGCTCCTACTAATACAGCCCAATATGCCAATATCATAACCAAGACTATTAGAGAAAGGTATAAATAAAAATTTAAAATTAGGACTAGTTATCTGATTTTTCTAAAACATTTTAAATGCTACACTACATTTTGCAGAGGAACAACACTGATAAGCTTTTTGTACTGTCACAAGGAGGCAGCAAATACATGTGAAAGATATAAAGCCAATAAGGAAACACATATTCCCCCCCACTGCACTGCATCTTTCAGCAGCACGCCTAAAGGAGTAAAATGCAGTGTTTACTTGGTACACTAAAGGATGTCATTTAATGGCAAAGCCGCAGGACCAAACTGAAAGCAAGATCTCTTGGGTTTACTCAGAGTAAAATAGTCTGTAATAGGTACCAGCATTATACTGTGATTCGGAGAGGTCTGCTTTCTGCCAACATTCCCGTTTCTTCCACCTGCTCACAAGCAACACCAGAAACACTGAACTAATGGACAGTATTCTCTAGCATTATTAACATGCGTCAGTCATGTGTATACACCACAGAGTCACTGCTCTCGGCACTTCAACACAATGCTGCTGGCTTGCTTTCACACACGTGGCCATAATGTTCTGTATTCCACTCTCATTGTGAGCTAAGATCATTCAACAATTTCAAAATGCCCTTATTTCAAACAAACAAAAACCAACTAACTCTCCCTGTGGGACTTACTCCACCCTCCTTCTGGCCTTAGCTCTGTCGACTCCACTCCCTTCTATCTCTGTTCGTCCAGCACCAGCCTCTTCTGTCCTGCAACACAATCTGGCCACTGCTGGTTTAGGTCTTCTCTTTGCAGCTCCTGCCACCCTGAACAGCACCTCTTCTCCATCTTTTCTCCACCCACCTACATCCCTTAAAGAGGAGCACAGGAGGGATATTCATTCTGCAGTAAAAGCCACAGCGCATTTTGATCGCTATTGAAAAAATAAGGCGAGACTGTATGTTTATCACCGGTACCTGACCCACCAATGCTGCTGTCATAAATATAAAGGGAAGGGTAAACCCCTTTGAAATCCCTCCTGGCCAGGGGAAAGCTCCTCTCACCTG